CCAGCAGCTGGGAGCTGAGGAGGCGCTGACACAGCCTCCCGGGCCGGGGCCGCCGACCTTCCCCGCGCCCTTCCTCACCTGTGCGGGACCAGCAAGCACATCTGGCACCTGGGGGACACCCCAGAGGCCCCCCCCACCACGTGCAGGAAGGCCCTCCTGGCCCCATGCTCCTCCCCGGCTCTGCAATATGGCCAGTCAGGGTGGGGGGACCCTCAGGTCGGCCACAGGAGGGCCCTGCAGCTTGGGGATGGGGAGGGCGGGGTGGGCAGGGGTGCTGAGAGCAGGGCCGGTCCTGCCTATTAACTAGTGAGGTCCAGGGCCCCCAGGGGGTGAGCCCGAGGCCAAAAAACTCACCCCCGGCCTCTGTGCACTGGCTGGGGGTGGGGTCACAGCAGAGTGACTGCAGCATCTAGGACTCAGCTTCTTTTTATCATTATTTATTTTTTTAACTACTTTTTATTGATTTCAGAGAGGAAGGGAGAGGGAGAGAGAGAAATATCCATGATGAGAGAGAGTCATGGACCGGCTGCCCCCTGCACGCCCCCCCCTGGGGGTGGAGCCCACAACACGGGCGGTGCCCTGACCGGGAATGAACCCTGACCTCCTGGTTCCTAGGTTGACGCTCAACCCCCGAGCCACGCCGGCCGGGCTGGGACTCAGCTTCTCCCCACAGCCCTGGGGGCTCTCACCCCTCAGAGAAGGGGCTCTGACTCCCAGGTGCTCGCAGTCTCAAGGCAAGGGGTGTGTGTGGTCCCTGCTGCCAGGTGAGCCCAGGCTGCTCATGCCAGGCCTGCAAACAGCCATCTGGTCCCCAGGACAGGACACCCCCCTGCATTAGGCCGAGGAGCCGACCCGGTGGCCCCAGCTCCCCGCTGAACGGCTCCAGGTGAGGGGCTTTGCTCGCCAAGGTCCAGGCCACGAGGCCGAGGGGATCCTACTGAGGGGGGGTCTGGGGAACAAAGGGGGTGCCAACTCTGTGATGGCAAGCCCGGCCTGGAGGCCCCTCCTGGCTCGGAGCTGGAGCTGAGCTCTCGGCTGGCGAGGGAGAGGTGCCTCCCTGGGGTTTGCCTCCGGGGGTGGCCGCCCCCTCCCCTGCCCTCTTTTGCCGCAGCAGCTGGGGCTCGGAGCCGCCCAGGTGCCTGTGCCAGGCGGGGCGGCGGAGGCAGAGGCAACAGCAGGGC